TGAGATGGGGTTCGTATGCCTGACTGACTGAATAGTGGGTGGTTAATTTGAACATTTTTTGATTCAGTCGGCTCCCCAAACTGACGCTGCAGCACAGGCCAATACATTATCTTTTCTAGACATGTGATGAACACTTGATCTTTCGTCCGGCTAAAACCGCAATACAATAAATGAACTCTCAAAAACTAACCGCCACCGAGAATTAGGCTGGTTCATGTCAGTGGTGCGAGAAGCAAAGGTTAAGCAAGCATGAAGGAAGAAACTTTTGACAAGAACAACAGATGTCCGCATAAACGTTCACACAGGAAGAGATTCATTTATCATTAAAGGACGCCACATGTCAGTGAGTTTAAAAAAAACAAAAGCATCAGTCTATCTCAGCCTGGGCTGCTGTGCTTTTCCTGTGTGTGCATCCTCATGTTTGTGCGTCAGAGCTGATTGCTCTCGACTTCATTAATCTCTGCAGTGTGGTTATGATTAGCTCTGCAAGCCACGCCAGAGGACATCTGACATGCTCGCGCACTCACCGTCAGGTCTGGCCTCCTCTCAAGCCTACCTCTCTCACACTCCAACCAATTAGCTGGCAGCAAAAAGGAGGAGAAAAAAAATCTAAGGGATGTCCACAGTAACATCTTTACTTTTCTTTCATTGTTGACATAAAATGCCTCTGATGCGAGTGTCAATTCTTTCATTCGTCACTTACATTGATTGTTTGAAAGTGTTGAGTTATTTCTGGTCAAAGTTAGTGTTTCTCAAAGTATGCTGCATGGATCATTATTGTCCTCAAGAAACTCGAAATGGTCTGTGAGTAACTTAGTGCTTGATTTTGGGGGCACTGCCTTAATCTTGCACATGGTACTGTCCAATATTTTGAGGAACAACATTTCAAGAAACTGTTGCTAATATTAAACCATAGTAGTTGAGAAACTTGCCTTCCACAAGACCATTTTGAATCTCTTTTTTTCCCTATTGGCATCATAGCTAGTTACATTTTCAGGTTATGATTGGTGATACACTTGTGCGATGGTACACACAGGCAAAATAAATTGCATTAACACACACTAATTATGTATATTAAATACCTTTATCATTATTGTCTGATTGTTGAACTGTCGAACAATTGAATGTCTGATGGTCCACTGGATATCTGAGACTAGGTGGTACATTGTCTTGGTCCATTTTTTTTAAAAAAAGATTTGAGTAACACGGCTTTGGGGAACAAAGCAGATTCAGTTGGTAATTTGCAGAAAAGAATTGCGCAAATGCACATCAAATCAGAATCGGATTGTTAAAATCTCTGCCGAAAAAAAGACAGCGAGACAACTTAAAAAAGTTAAAGTGCATGTGTGTAGGATTCTGAATTAGACAGCAACATAAATAGAACATGTGCAGAATCAGTGGGGCGAAAAAAAGACTAGAAATAGAAAGCTGAAGAGTCAAATGTTGAACCAAAAATCAAAAACACTGTCCATCTCAATTGATCAACTTCTCACGTCTTGAGACAGCAGTGCATCCAGGATTACTAAATTCACAAAAATATATACACAAAACTTTCCAAAACTGGAATATTTGGAAAAATTACGCAACTTTTCCTTTAACATGCCTGACTTGGGGCTGTCCAAAACATATTTGTGGCACTTGAAGCTGCCTCGTTTGCTTGGACAAATTCAATCTCATTTCTAATTCTTGCCTGTATACGCGCACGCACACACACACACACACACACACACACACACACACACACACACACACACACACACACACACACACACACACACACACAGTAAACACATTGCCATATGAATCTATTTGTGTGATTGTGCGTCAACACAAGACAGTGCGGTGACAAATTGCTGAAAGGAGGAACGAGAGGAATAATGATGGACAATAATGCCACATGTGTACTGTAGCCAGTGTGTGAGCATGTGTGCCGATGAATCTCTCATCTTGACAGCGGGGCCCGGCAGCAGTGAATGTCCTTCTGGGTGGGACACGCACACACACACACACTCACACGCGCACACACACAGATGGAAACGGCCACACTCATGGATCACCCCTGTCTGCACACAATCCGCCGCAAATAATGATGAACCACCCCTGCATTTAACTATTTTACACAATACTCAATTCATTACTTCTCTCTCCCTCTTCCTCTGCCCCTTTGTGTAGAGAGGTGAGCTAATAAAAGGTATGATATTTCTCCTCTATCGGCAGAGTCATAGTTTTTATCCGTTAGTAGCATATTAGGAGGGGAAATGAGGAGAGGTGGGGGGGGGTGGCTTCAAATTGGTTTAAAAGCAACAGATGCCTGAGGCATTTAAAAAAAAAAAAAAAAGAAAGAAAATGAAGCGTTTTCCTCGATGAAGAGCAGCAATGCCAAACTATGCTCCACCGGTGAATTTTTGCTTCGAAGGAATACTCAAACACACAGCTGTTCAAAGATGGCTGGAATTGGAAATATTTATTGCAAAACGTTTATTCAATCGTCATTAAAATTTAAAATGTGTGTCATTTAAATGCAACACATAAGACTCATCTAATTGCTTCATTTCTAATTTCATAATGGAAAAATAAAAATAGAGCATGGCGTAAAAATAGAACTGCATGACAACAACTACAATCAAATAAATGCTTCTAAAGTGTCACCTTGATCAAATCAAAATTATAAGACTGCATGTACCATATTAATCAAAAATATTCATAATATTTTTGAGGTTTTTTTCAAAGTATAAACTTTCAATAAATAGCGAATGTCTGTATTTATTAGGTGTGTTAAGTCGACTGTCAGTTAAAACACCCAACTTAAAAAGTGCGTGCAACTGTGTTAATTCTCCTTTAAGAATGTGACAAGTTAGACACAGACTACATACACATAAATTAAATATGTAGTAAAGTTGTATTTGTTCTTTTTATTTCCAAAGATGTGCTGAAGAAACACATCTAAAATGAAATATGGCGATTATCTTAAAATCATTTCTGAGATGATCACATTAAATGTTTTGTATTTCGATGAAGGTATCTATTAAATCTCTTAAAGGTGCTCAAAGCTAGTGCAATACTTGATAAGACTGATTTCAAAAAGAAAAAGTATCATCTGGCTTGCTTCAGCGCAGCAGAGAAGGGAAGAGTCATTATGGATTTCAATTAAGTGATCCCTGGCCAGAGAGGGATGCGTCAGAGTGGAGGGATTAATGTGCTGCGGACAGATGTTTAATAATAATGGCCGAACTGGCCCTGCCGAGTAACACACATTCCACCCGCTGCATCCTGCTGAGGCATGCACGCACAAACACATGCACAGACACTCAATTCTAATCACTCACACACTGCCACGCACAATAATGATTCACGCACAGTGGGGAACGGAGTGTGACAGTCTTACTGACACATATACTCATCCATAGACGCACGCTGTCACTATATCAAGAAAGTGTGTGTGCGCCTGTCTTTATGACCAGCGCTGGCCACAGTGCATATGGCCCTCATTTAGGAACAATGGGCATGACTGGGTGGATGAGATTCCTGGCTGCAAAGAGGTGACTGGAGGCGTGTTAAATGGCATGCCCCGTACGGAGAGATGGAGCACGCGGCAGACAGAGCAAAGGGGAGAGGGTATGGATGGGTGAAGCTGGATAATGACTGTCTCGCTTTGGAAGCAAAATATTTTCTTTCGGCATCATCATCAGTCCAGCGGATGAGGAAGTTGGACAAAGAAAGCCAGCAGAATGCCAGGATGACAGTAAAGGAATGTAGAGTGGAACCTCCAACATTTTAACCTCGCTGTTATACAAGTACGAAGAGGAGCAAAACCACTGGAGAATGGAACTAAAATAAAGTAAAACCGCTCACTGGTTGATGTCTGACCGATACAACATCGAGGGTCAATGAAAGGGTTTGCAGAGTGATTCTGCCACCTAGTGGCATTTCACAAGTATTGTTTAATTAATTATGCAACGGATAAAATGTACTACACATTCGCGTTTTCTTGGCCAAATTAATGTGCCTGTATATCGTATCATTTGCAGTGCGTTACGGCTGCTTGGTGAACCAAGGGTTCGCATGTCTGCTTCAGGCCTTCTCGATGGAGTTTGCATGTTTTCCTGTTGTAGCTTGCTTTTTCTCTGGGTACACTATCTTCCTCCCACATTCCAAAAACATACATTTTACATTATTTGAACACCACCTCAATCAGTGGTTCTCAAAGTGTGGTGTGAGTACAAATAGTGGGGCGCAGTCTCCCTCTAGTGGTGCATGAAATTATCACTGAATTAAATCGTTATAGTGTACACAATGTTACGGTAGTTAATTTAACTTAACTACAATACTTTTGTAGGGAATCTTTTAAAAGTGTTTATAAAATTTGTTTAGGTGCATATTTTATTTGAACTTTGGAGTGGAATACATATGAATTAAACCTTTGCTTAAGTAGAGTCTGCATATTCTCGCTGTGTTTGCATGTTTTCTTCGGGTACGCCACTCCCAAATTTCCCAAAAATGCACGTTAGGTTCATTTAGCAATCTAAATTTTCGGTGTTAATGCCCTGCAATGGGCTGGCAACCAGTCCAGGACATACCACACCTCTCACACAAAGTCAGCTAGGATTGGCTCAAACTCACCTGCACTAAAGAGCGGTATACTGTATAGAAAATGGATTATCATTACATTTTTCCTCCTCCCCATCATAAAAAAGCCAAAGTTTCAAAGCACATTTTTCCAGGTAATTTTGCAAAAAAAAAAAAAAAAAAGACTTGCGGTACCAGTGTTTTTCAAGACCACTGAAAAACAGTTTGTCCAAAACAAGAAGTGGGTCATTAGTGTGTAAACATAGCATCTTTCCACGAAGTGCTTTCACTCTCTATTTTTTGAATCACCCCCTCACCAAGTGACACCTAATCAGCACGCCGGCAGGACAAATTGCTTGCTGCCATCATCACACTCTCGTCAGAAAATGATACTTCGCATTCGGTGTACGTGCCATCTTGTCGCAGCCATGTACCTTCAGTAATTACTGGACCGGCCATCCTTCCGCCACTTCAACGATGGATAGTCCGAAGTGTAGCGGGTTCACACTCTGGAGTCATAACTCTACGTGGGACATCTGCCTTCTTCTCTTCACAACTGCTGTGACCCCCGGACGGCAAATTAGCCTGAGAGAAAAACAGAGAGGAGAGAGAAAATGACACTCAAACCGCTGCACAGGCAGCACGTCTATATACAACACACGTGGAGACACACAATGTCATTGACTTGCAACATTTGTGGTTTGTCTCTCTCTAAAACTTCGAGTCAAAACCAAAACCGGGATGCAAGTCATTTGTGATTGGATCACCAATTGCCAGAGTGAAACGCTATAAAGAAATGTTATTCATCAAGGAGGCACCCAATTTCTCTACAAAATAATTTTGAGCAGTTTTTATTCAAATACATTCGTATCTGTTGATTTCTTCATCATTAACACATATGCATTTTGTTACAGCAAAGTACAATATACAGCATTTCAGTAACTTTAGGCCTTTGGGGGAACCAAATAATTTAGATCTTGAGAAAACTTTACAGAAACCCTGATCATAGGATTAATCCATCATATGGAGGCTAGCTAGATATCTTTGCTTGCACACAGACAGCCATACTGAGGGGATCATTTCGACAGGTGAATATGGCTGAAGAGGAGGAGATGTGGGGGGGAAATGAGGAATGAAGTGGAGGGATAAATAAACCGATAAGTGATGATGAAGAGGAAATGATGAAGATACTGTCAGAAAAGAGGCTAAATGGAAGATAGAAGGCAATGGAAGAGTGGTGGCATGACAGATCAATCAATACACACAATCTGCATTCACAGAAGAGAAATTTTAACCAACTTAAAAATAGTTACATATAATAATAGTTTTTTTTCTGTCCGTTCCAGCTACATTTCAAGAGTAATTTAATCAGTTTTAACCTTGCATCGGATGGTGCTTTCTATTTGCATTTGTTATTGCCCTGTCAATTCCTGTGCATTTTGATTCTTTGTGTGCGTGTGTGTGTGTGTGTGTGTGCGCGTGCGCGCTGAAATTTCTTCATGAATGTGTTGCAAGGGTTAGCTTTTGGATTGTTTTTTTTCTTTACTTCAGCTTTATTCTAAACAAAAAGTAGACTGAAAAACATTTTTAAGGCGTTCAACAAGTTTAAGGAATTGATTCATAACTCACATTAATTCAACGTATTTTTATCCGTGGCTTTATAAATATTTAGTCTAATACTTGACTCGAAACAATACGTTTCAGTGCATTGTATGAATTTATATTGCAGATTGCAACTGCAACAACCTAAAAATGACCTCGATGCTTCATACAAATACATTGATAAAGTCAGAAACAGAAACACATAACAAAATGTGACTGACCTTCTGGACGAGCCTCGCACCTGTGTGTAGGGACTGACGATAGCCGACATCGCGTAATTTGCTTTAAAACAATCAGCTGGCTGCCATTTTGCGTTGTGGGGTGCATTTTCGTCACTGTGTTCAAAACCAAAATATTAAAACTAATCTCGATCTTTTTGAATATCAAGTCATAATAAGAGGAGCGGCATCAAGCAAATGAAGTTTAAAAAAAAATTAAACATTTTTTCTTCATAACACCGGAAGTAAACTGCGGCCTCGGGTTTATTTTGACAGCTGTGTTTCCAGGGCAACCGTAAACGGACGCCCAAGGAGACATGGCGGAACTCCTGCAGATTCAATGCGTGCTCGAAGAGTTCCGAAAGCTACAGTTCTACAAATCAAGGTATCACCAAGCACGACACAAATAGGCAAGTTACAAGGATATGCTGATGTGACAGCTAAATAAACTAGATCTAGGCTAAATAAGGTATGTTTTAGTATTCGTTTATTTTAACCACACACGCTCAAGTTTAAGTCAATTCAAAGTCGATATCGGCAGGTTTGGTTAAACAGATGCAATTACAGACAGTGATTTATAGTAGCGTTTGTGAAATATAAACAGATATTTTCTTCATGTTTCATTCCATAAAACGAGTACAATTAAAGTGTTTTATTTTCTCTTACTTCAGGTTAGAAGAGGCAACTAGACAGCAGGAATACAGAGCTGCTCTCCGCATTCAGAGCTGGTTCCGAGGATACAGGGTGCGCTTTTACATCAGGTAATGCTGAAGTGCCAAGTTTTCATTTGTCATGTGACAAATTACTGCTTGCTCTTTATTTCATACAAGCCCAGCCATTTTAGCACTTCTATAGCCTCTGGGCCTTATAAAACATCTAGTCTTCGCATGGGTATGTTAATTTACAGGGAATACCCTGATACTGGCTCCCTCCCGTAATTGTAGGACTTCTGGATCTTTGTAAATGGCCTTGAGAGCCTGTTCTGTACTACGACCCCAGCGCCATTCTGCAGGGTCAGCAGACAAACTTCCAGACAGTAGGTTAATTCAGATTACTTTAGTTAATTGATCAATACGTTAAGTGGATAATTAGCAACAATTTTAGCTGCCTAAGTGCAACTCTGGGGTTGTGCTATCCCACTATAAGCATTGATTTTCCAGGTGTATAAATGGCCTTTTGGAAATTGATGGCCTCATTGGAGGTGGAGATTTGCAATGGACTTGCATTTAGGGTATGTTTGAAGATGAATACAAATGTCTGCTGCTGCATAAAGGGGGGGGGGGGGTGTGTGTGTGTGTGTGTGTGTGTGTGTGTGTGTGTGTGTGTGTGTGTGTGTGTGTGTGTCTAACATTAACGATCCCGTGACCTTTGAATTCAATTCCTTTACATCATAACAGTTGGGAGCAGAAAGCAAAATAACTGTTTTCCTTTCTTTTCAAAAGAAAAGTAGCGTTAGTTCATCATTGATTTTCCACTTTAGGCAACACCAACCGGTAATTTAAATGAATTTCATGCAGGATTTCCATTTTTAAGGCTTTTTTCAGTTTCATTTGCAGCTCTTGCTGACGGCCTTGTATTTTAGGTTTTATTTGACACCCTAACAAAGAGATTCACAATTTAATTTAAGTTCTGCGCCCCATTTCAGCAGCACAAAATACCCATCTAATCCTCTTCCCAATATGACTTCATGACAGGCATCTGCACGAGAAGGCGGTCATTATACAGAAGATATGGCGAGGCTTCAGAGCAAGGGCACGTTGCAGACAAATGGTGATGGTAAGCCAGAACGAGGAACAGCTATAGATGTATTGATTTGGTTATGATAGCATGCATTAGAATTCAATTTCTATATGCCTAAGTCCCTGCATCTGACCTTAAGAAATATAATTCACTCATTACACATTGGGAAATTAGCACTTAGGAAATATGATGTAATATGCGATGGAATTTTATCTCTATTGCCTTTCCTGGCATGCATTTAGAACAAGTGTGGTGAAGTAAATGGTGGGAGCAGAAGTGTAGAAGTGTTCGCACGTGCGTGTGTGTCGTTGTGTTTGTGTGTATTTGTGCGCTTTAGAAAAACAAGGCCGCCTTTTCGGCATATTGCCTCCAACTGCTTCTTAATTGAACAGATTGTTGATACCGGATCCAATACCCAGCGCTCTCACATATAATTTTCCCCTGGATTGAGTTTTGTAAACGTATCACAACAAGCTATTTATCATGCCCCTAAATTGACTGTTTGCTAAAGCAAAACTGCCAGCCGTCATTTGGGAGCCGTTCAAAAAAAAACGGGGGAGACGGCGGCGAGGGGCACTGAAATAAACGATGAAGGATGTGTCACAATGCACATATGGGCAAAAAAAGCGGCAGTTTGGGAACAGACGAGCGCTCGTTTGAATCACTAACACTTTTCATAGTTTGGAATTAGCCTACTGAGGCTCCATTCTTCAACTCTAGGGATCTGCCATTAAAACTTAAAAAGGTTCAGCTCAGGGTCCCCTCAAGGTACTCTAGATTCCATTCCAAAACATGCTCCATAAGTTTACCGAAGACTCAAAATTGTCCGCAGGTGTGAATGTGAGTGCTCATGGTTGTGATCGGCTGATGACCCGTCCAAAGTGTAACCCACCACTCGCCCAAAGACAGCTGGGATAGGCTCCAGCTCATCCGCGTCCCCAGTGTCATGGACTTCTCTCCTCGCACATGCCGACTTTCTCCACTCGCAAAGCTGCTCTGAATAAACTATTCGAATGGCTAAGCGGCGTCGTGTGGGAGGAGTTACAAACATGCCCTTTGCTTGTGTATTTCCTGTGTTACTGTCATCCCAGAAGTTGCGCAAATTTAGCCTGGCTACGGATCACGGCCAGAGTCCACCTACTGAGGATCTCAATTCTTTCTCACTCCCTCCAAACACTATTATAAATAATGGGAGTTGTACAAAAGCCTCATCTCATAACACCGAGCGGAATTTACAACCCCCCTTTCAAGTCTCCTCCGTGTCTTCCTCGTTATTAAAAAAAGATATGTTGAGATATGGATCCCCTTTATGGACGACTCTCCATTTTGCTCCTGAAACGTGACCACGGTGCTCGGCCTCGTGCGTTTGGTGTGAGTGTGCCGCTGCATATTCTCGGGCCTTTTGTGATTCTCTTCTGGCACCTCTGTCATTGATTATGAAATCCAGAGGAGAGCGTTTGGCCGTCATACATCTCCATTAGCTCGCTGCTTCAGCGCCATAGATTTTCCTGGCCCTTGCGTGTGTTGGTGTATTAAGAGAGCACTGTCCTCCTCAGTCAAGTCACCTCGGCCTGTCACACTTACACCCCCCCCCCCCTGTCCCTCTCTCTCTCTCTCTCTCTCTCTCTCTCTCTCTCTCTCTCTCTCTCTCTCTCTCTCTCTCTCTCTCTCTCTCTCTCTCTGCCTCCACACCGCCTTGACGCTTTGTCTTTTTCTTCACTGTTGCTTTCCCCTCCACTCTTCTCGTCCGGAGTGGCCCTATCTGTGCTGCCTGTGTGAAATGTATTATGTATAAACAGCTGTTTATCTTTGATTGTCTGCTGTGGACAGATCAGAGGGCTGTGAGACAGCGCGTAACGTCATCTTTTTCTTTTGTGTTCACAGGAAGCATATTTTGTCATGAAGATGAATTTCTACAACGAGATGGCGATCAGGGTAAATATCACCGCGGTGCTTTCTTTTAACAGAAAGAGTGTCGCGGTGACGGGACACTTGATCAAGAGTGGCTCATTGTTGCAAAATGAACATCATAAATGTATGTCTTTGTTTTTGCAACGTTTTTGAAAAAAAAATATGAGGTCTGTCAAAAAGGTTCCAAATGATTTAAAATCCAAATGACAATTTTTTTTTTTTTTTTTTTTTTAATCTTCAAACCCCGTCTCTGCCAAACATTTACACACTTCATGAAGGGTTCTTCCAAGATTCCTCCACAGCCCCGTCGGGATAGCTGTCTTGATCTTGTTGACATCTTCAAAATGGATCCCCTTGATGAACCCGATGACCTTAAATCACAATAAGTCATGTTTACTTTGCTGGGTGGTTTCTCCAGCACGGCGATGTACTTCTCTGCAAGGAATTTTCTGATGCTCAGGGCGTTGTGAGAAGATGCTTTGTCATGGTGAACCAGCCACAATTTGCGCTGCCACAACGCAACCCTTTTCACACTCACTGAACAAAGCATATGCACTAGGATCTATTTGTAGATGCAAGGGTTAATTTTTTGGCCCACACTGAAATAGAAAATGTCTAGTTTGTAATTAGTGTTTGAAAAATATCTTTTTGACACGCCAGTGGACAGCTGAAACTTTTCTTACAAACCGAACAATAACGTACATTTACAAAAACGTGTTGAAATGAAAATGCCGTTCCCAAGAGTGTTGTCTTTTGTCTTTTTATCATTTACGTAAAAAACTATTCTCTATCTATCCTTTGCATTTATATGTTTTATGTTTGTAAGTATTCAAAAGGGGACGTTTAATCAGGGTCGGCAAAGGAGGCAGTGCCGCCCCCTGCTGGCAGTTCTTTGCATTTGAAGAATCGATGCAATAATTAAGTATTTGCCGCTGTTCAGCCCATATATCATCACACTCCAGCTTTGACTGATGTGTTTGGCATTTATACGCAATACATTTGCACAGAAATCTTATCGTTTTCACAATTCCATGTGGCCTCTTTTTTCTGGCTATCAGCTTCATTCTGCGTCAGCCATTAAGGGGCTTTATAGGCCAACAAAAACAAAGTCTACCAGCTTTTATTAAAGAAGTTGTGTTGCTGACCAGCTGCACAAACGTTTGTCGGAACAGCTTGGAAATTGAATGCTTCAAAGTTTTACACTTTTATTGGAAAAATGAAACAACGAAAACTGACCAGCCAATTATTTCAATAAATGTCACAGTAAGCAAGACATATATCCAGGAGTAGACTCTGCTGGTGTAGCTTATTGGGATGAAAGGTCAGGGGTTGCTGTCACCATGTGGAGCGGAGAACAAGCTACTTAAGGTGGAGAAAAAGCTCCTTTATGACCCTTATAAAATATCACAGCTTCCTCCTTTACAGCACAATAGCAATTTTAATGGAAAGGAAATGAACGCGAATGGAGCAGGGAATTGACTCCGTGCTCAGTGATGGAAGAAGGATCTAAGTTTGAACCCCACAGAGGCCAAATAAGACTTTTCTGTGCAAAGTTAGTGTTTCACTTTGTGAGATTAATGAGAGTTTGGTCTGGATTTTGTCATGTCGTCCCAACACTAAAGTCAAATGGGAACAATCCTGGCATTACCCTTGGCCAAGGCACTGGCCCCTGAAGAGGAGTTACTTATAGCCACTGAAAAAGAAACCAAAAATGTACCACATGTATCTTAAAATAAGATTATAAATGGTTAGCATGAGTGTACTGTTATTCTCCATTTTAGGAAGTTTCTTTCTCCCTGCCAGTGAGGGGCACGCTTTTGTTATCAATGGACATCAATGGACATTTTTTTTTTTTGTCACGTACGCTTGCGAATGAGCTTCGCTTTTCTCCACCATGAAATTGTTTTACGAATGCAATGCTTGCTCTACTGCGTTATTATACTAAAGAGATCTGTCAGTGATGTTATTTTGCTCCCTTTGGGGATAGGAAACGTCTATTAGCATGCGTGGTTGTTTTTTTTCTGATTGTCAATGCACTCAGCAATGACAGCATGACATCTATTGGAGCGGGCCAGGACAACTCTTTTGTAATGTGTTGTTTTTTTGGGGGGTTTTTTTTGGTTTTCCGTGGCATCACAAAGTGCACTTACATTAAAGTTGAAGAACTTCTGTGCCAAACTTTGGAATGTGTGTGGCTTCTCACTTGCATTCTATGCAGGAGTGTGCGCACATGCGAATAAGACTGAAATCCAGTGCCAGTGACCCTTTTCAAGAACAAATCAGTGAAGGGCGACGGTACTTGCCAAGCCGTTATTACCAAAGAAATATTTGATAGCGTGGGAATGGAAGTGAAAACACAGTGGGAGAAACAATCATCCCCGAATCCCCTGTGACACTTCCTTTGAATCATTCTTGTCGCTCCCCTCCAGTTTATGGCGCCGCGCTAGCTAACGGAGGATAATGTATTAAGGCCGTAATAGAAACCACTGTTTACATGCTGCACCTCGGATTTGTTATCAGATTCAACAGCATCGATTTCACTTGTCAACAAAGGTCAGCAAGAACTCGAGAGGCGGCAATTACTTTATTTAAAATTATCTATTGACTAGAAGATCAATGCTAATTCTCATTTTGCTCTTTGTTGTTTTTCCGCCCCGCCCTCCATCCGTCGTTTCTCCTATTCCTTCGTCTTGATAGTGTGATGATTCTTTTACTCGCTGTTGTTTTAATCTCCTAATTAGTTTGAAGGACACCCAGCCTTCTGCCTCACACTTCTTCACTCTCGTGTGTGGGTGTGAGGCGAGGCTAATCTGCAGCCTCGACAATCAATCCGCAACAACGTAGTAAAACGTATGGAGCTGTGACAGCTGTCCATCCCACCTTGGCTTGTCCCTTCATCACGACAGTGAAAAAAATTGCATGATGAGATGATGGGTGATTTAAGGCTGTTGTTCAGGCCATTAATACCGTCATCCGTTTTTGTAATGTGTTTTTTTTTTCATGCTTTTCCTCTTACAGATCCAGCGAAGGTGGCGAGGATTCTACGTGCGAAAGTACATCCATAGCTTCTATTCACGCAAGAGCTATCTGGAAAGAATATCCAGAACAAATGAATTAGTAAGGTAAAAAGAAAAAAGACAATAATGCAAACTATCATTGTGATGACAAAACCAGGCAATTTAAAAGAATTGCTGGGCCGTCGTTCGTCATCCGTTGGCAGTTTGGACACCCATCTGTCATTGTCAGTCCATTTTTTTTAAGCACAACCAAATTGTAATCGTCAGCCTGTTAATTTTTTTTTTTTTTAACTGGCTTCCATTATCGCTTCCGTCAGCAAATTTTACCAGGTTTCCAGTACATCAAAACACTGATGATAGAAAAATTAGAAACTCAGCAGAATAAAGTTGTAATTTTAGTATCTGAACATCAGAAATTTTTTCACAAATGTCAATGTAACAGCGTCACTGAGACCATCACCGCTGCTTATGTTTTCACAGGATTGTGAGATTTTTTTGGGAGATCATGGTCTGATGAAACCAAAGTTTGAAAATTTTGCCCCGGGGATAATTTATCACAGACATGGAGGGAATTATAAGCCATCAGACTTCTGCTAGGACGCAAAAATAAATGCCAAAAGCCTACTAGAACATCTAAAAAGTGAATTTGGGTTTCCCTCGAACTGGTGGTTTATCAGGCACCCAGCAAGCGAGACGCCAGTGTTAAGATCCGTCCTTGCAGACTAGATGTTACCTCAGAGAAAATATAAGGGAGTGTAAGTGACAGAGAAGACAAAGAGAGCGCTCAAAAGAGGGAAGGAGAAAACTCCTTGAAAGGCTGGAGGCGAAGCGAAAGGAGAAGTGAACGATGTGAAGAAATTAAAAATTAGCCTCCGACGTGAACCCCAGCTGCTGCGTTAATATAACACCCCGCGCTCCAGGGCTTACTGCTCGATCTACACCATCTTTTACTTTTGACAAAAAAGAAAAAAAAACACCCTTAGTTAATAAGTCATATTTTAACTTCATATATTTTAGCACAAAATATCTTTAGGCTTTTGCTAAAATTAAATGTAAATTTGTTACGATGTCTTGGATCACTGACTCCCCCCCCAACCCTCGCCCGCTTCCCAGCAGCATTTTCACCTTTTCATAGAGGTGAAAAGGGAGCAGACTTTTAAAGCCTATTAGGAAAGTGTTTCCACTTCACTACAATAACAAATGAAAATAGATGGATACACGTGCAACCTCATCAAGTATTCTGTAAATTACTTTAACTTTTCCATGATTCCACTCATTTGAGTTTCCTAATTTGCATATCCCAATCCTTAACGCTGTTAAAAAACAAAAATGAAAGAACCAAAATAAGGGTGAGTGTTAGGTTGAATTCAATCTTCCAAACAAAGCAGAACTCTGATCAAGAGTCTCATCTAATTCAGTCAATTGTGACAACCCATATGGTAGACATGCATCTACAAAGCCACTCCTCTGCTGTGGTTGGGGGTGTTTAGGTCATTTACTCTCCAGTTAATCACATGTTTATTTAGTGCCACCGAGGTCACGATCAATTAATGCTGTGCGGGCGTTTATTTGAAACATCCTGTGAGCTGCTGAGCCTTTCGCTGTCTGATCAGTCATCCCGCAAAGGTCCGCTTTTTAATCCACCAGCGTGCTCCCTTCCTCTATAAGAGCGTATGTCTGTCCAGCACTCGGAATGAATTATTCAAAGTTGGACTAATGGTCCCCGTTTAGCGCAAGCCGATCGGCTGTGCATGGCTAATCGTATTGGGGAATTGCGCGGATTGCCTGTTGTCCCTTATGCCTTATTTCTATTTACACCTTAAGCGGCGTATGCTTTTAAAGTGTATTTTTAAAAATATGCTGTTTTTTTTTTTATTGAAAAAAGTTAGACAATTGCACTTAAAAAAAAAAAAAGATGTTTTTTTTTTTAATTGAAAAAAGTTCGACAACAATTGCACTTAAAAAAGTATCTATGATTATTACATCGTATTGTCTTTATCATTCAGTCGGTTAAGACCTTGCCAAAGCGACAGGTGTCACCATAATATTTCAACCTTGGTTTCTTCGAACTTCAAAAAAAAAAAAAATCCCCCAAACAGTTAAAATGTGCGGTGGTCTGATGCGTGCTGACTTTGTTTAGCCTGAGTTTGAATGTGCTCTGTTATTATTTTTATCATCCCCTTTGTTTTGAAATTGAGAGGTTACAGGTCACATTAATGATGGCAAACAGTTTTTATTTTGCTTTAATTTTTTATTTATTTTTTTTAGTGCCTCTGTTTGGTGTTAGTACACCACTTGATTTTAACTCCAGCACCTCCTCACCAGCCTCTCCTCTTCTTTTTCTAATTTTGCTTTGTTTGTATCCTCCTCTTGCCCCCTCCGCCATTCCCATCAGTTCACCGAGCTTCCGCGCGCATCCTCATTCATCCTCCCTCTCCTTCCGCATAGCCTAATGAAGTCAAGACCCCAGCGCAGTCCCCACTCTGCCACAGTTTTCCTGGGCACCCCAACAATTTATCACTTTGTCAGTGAGACACTTAAAGTTCCTGGGCTTTAATAAGGGCACGCGGGTGGGACAATGGGGGCAATTAGGAAAGCAGAGCAAGGCTGTTTTGCATATTTACTAAATGCGCTGGAGTCATCGCCGCAGCCACCAACACGGGCCGTTGGCTGCATGAATTATTCCTCTATCTGCCATAAACAGCTGGGTAATTATTACTGCCATCATCTGATAAATAGTCTCGCCTATGATGCCGCAACAACACAGGAACTTATTTTGCTTTCACTTGAAGAAATGCGCAGACAGTGTGGCCGCGGTTATTTATTCTCCTCTCCTGTGGCGTCTCACATCCTCCGGCGACTTCTTCTCCTGTCTCTCTTTTCTCCAGCCTTCTTCATCGCTCCCTTTCTCATGTCCCTCCCAAGGACATTGATGAAAGGCGAGCCGCTACACTGGAGGGGGACCTGCACTGCCAACATTCTCCGTTTCGACGCGTCACTCTTTCTTTTGCCGCTTCTTTCTGATCCAGTTTGGTGGAGACAAGTTCACTCCCTCAGTTTGATTGGATTTGTATATTCAGTGTGTGTGTGTGTGTGTGTGTGTGTGTGTGTGTGTGTGTGTGTGTGTGTGTGTGTGTGTGTGTGTGTGTGTGTGTGTGTGTGTGTGTGCGGCGGCGGCGCATAATCTGGCTGCTGTGCTCTCCTTGACTCTTAAGAAAATTACTTTTGAGGAGGAAACAAAGGAGGGACATGAGGACGGTCCTGAGAATGTTTCAACTTTTTTTAAGAGGGGAAAAAAAATATGGATCATATCATGTTTTTTCGTACTTTACAGAAGGAACTGATCCATTTGTGAGTCACTTACCTGCATGGAAAGTCAGTGCAAGAAGCTCAATATATTGAGCTGGTCATGGTCTCAATCGAGTGTCTGACAGCCCCCTTCTCCTCCTTGCCTGCTATTGAATCATTTAATTGGAGCAATTAAAGCAGCCAATCAGGTCACGTCACCATTAAATATTTAGAACGTGGCCAATTAGTTGCACTGTTGCTGGCCTTGATGACCGCATGTGTGGACCGCTGTCCCGCACTGCCACAGTCTCTGATATCCCTTGAGGCCCTTGACTCCTCATTCTGAACCAGGGGCTAAATTATTGAGGGAGAGGTGGGAAATTTAGCTGTACTGTATTAGCCATTAAATAAGTGAACAGACCTGGGTCAGGTCGGTTTGGGTTTCGGTGATTTGAAACGGCCTTAAGTAAGCTTGATTAGTTCCTGCATTCGCCGTCTCCATACTAGATGAGATTTTCTCTGTTCTTTCAATCATATGATGAGTATCTTGCTTCATATTTTTCTTTATCGTAAGACAACTCATATATCATATACCGTATATACCTCTAAAGTCAATGGTGTCAAACTCATTTTTCATGGGCCACATGAAATGATGTTGTGAATGCGAAACCATTACATTGCATAATCGTCGACCGGTACTTACATGTACATAACAAATTGCTGAATGACTAGTTTTGAAATCAGAAGTCAAAGAAAAGAGTTTGTCTGGTAATTTTCTGCAAAAATAAGCACCACCAAATTAAGTACGAACATGGCGTATTTCTGCTCTCAAGTTTGACCATTTACTTTCCCTTCTTTCTTTTTTTGCATTCATTACTCATTCATTCATTTGTATACACACCCACACACACA